GGTGTCTCTCTGGTCTCTCTCTGGTCTCTCTCTGGTCTCTGGTAACTCTCTGGTGTCTCTCTGGTCTCTCTCTGGTCTCTCTCTGGTCTCTCTCTGGTCTCTCTCTGGTCTCTCTCTCTGGTCTCTCTCTGGTCTCTCTCTCTGGTCTCTTCTCTGGTCTCTCTCTGGTCTCTCTCTGGTCTCTGGTCTCTCTCTGGTCTCTCTCTCTGGTCTCTCTCTGGTCTCTCTCTCTCTCTCTGGTCTCTCTCTCTCTGGTCTCTCTCTGGTCTCTCTCTTAAATTTTTCGCATCAGCCGTCACAACACACGCTAAGCTAACCGCAGTTGAACTCACCGTCTCTCTCTCTAAACACGCGACTAATAAAGCCCTGGCCTTAGCATGAGCCCGAATGTTTCCTCTCTTTCTGCAAATCCCTTTAATATACGAGAGAGGACAATCCCTTTAATCAGGCGCTGTGGCAGGAGGCTCAGGACGCCTGCCTTCTCCCGACGCCTGTGGCTCCATTATCAGCCTGTGTGCGGTTTTCCCCCCCCAGTCAGAGGCCCGGACGCCATCTTTAAAGAAACGGATTAGTGTCGGTGTAAGTCTGAGTCGATGCTGTAGCAAGACGTGATATAGGTTAGTATTAGTTAGAATTTAGTATTTAGTATTCTGAGTCGAAGTGGTTCAAACATGGAGGACACAGACTCTGAAAAGTAAAGTCAGAAGAAACTTATGAGAGAGAAGGACATTTATTCACATTTCTGGACAGTGTCAATCTGCTCCCTATGGACCAAGGGTTCTCTGGTCTCTCTCTGGTCTCTCTCTGGTCTCTCTCTCTGGTCTCTCTCTGGTCTCTCTCTGGTCTCTGTCTCTGGTCTCTGTCTCTAGTCTCTCTCTGGTCTCTCTCTCTGGTCTCTCTCTGGTCTCTCTCTCTGGTCTCACTCTGGTCTCTCTCTGGTCTCTCTCTCTGGTCTCTCTCTGGTCTCTCTCTCTGGTCTCACTCTGGTCTCTCTCTGGTCTCTGTCTCTGGTCTCTGTCTCTAGTCTCTCTCTCTGGTCTCTCTCTGGTCTCTGTCTCTGGTCTCTCTCTGGTCTCACTCTGGTTTCTCTCTGGTCTCTCTCTGGTCTCTCCTGGTCTCTGTCTTTAGTCTCTCCCTGGTCTCTCTCTGGTCTGTCTCTGGTCTCTCTCTGGTCTCTCTCTGGTCTCTGTCTCTAGTCTCTGTCTCTGGTCTCTCCCTGGTCTCTCTCTGGTCTCTCTCTGTCTCTGGTCTCTCTCTGGTCTCTCCCTAGTCTCTCTCTGTCTCTGGTCTCTCTCTGGTCTCTCTCTCTGGTCTCTCTCTGGTCTCTGTCTCTAGTCTCTCTCTGGTCTCTCTCTGGTCTCTGTCTCTGGTCTCTGCTCTTGTCTCTCCCTGGTCTCTCTCTGGTCTCTCTCTAGTCTCTCTCTGTCTCTGGTCTGTCTCTGGTCTCTCTCTGGTCTTTCTCTGCTCTGTCTCTCTGCTCTCTCTCTCTCTGCTCTCCCTCTCTGGTCTCCCTCTCTGTGGTCTCTCTCTCTGGTCTCTCTCTGGTCTCTCTCTCTTCTCTCTCTCTCTCTCTGTCTCCCTCTCTGTGGTCTCTCTCTCTCTCTCTCTGCTCTCTCTCTGGTATCTCTCTCTGCTCTCTCTCCTCTCTCTCTCTCTCTGGTCTCCCTCTCTGTGGTCTCTCTCTCTGGTCTCTCTCTTCCTCTCTCTCTGGCAGAGAAACCCATACTGGTCTGAATCTGGGTCAGAGCAGACTGAGAGAGTGGAGCAGAGAGAGAGAGTGGAGCAGAGAGAGAGTGGAGCAGAGAGAGAGGAGCAGAGAGAGAGTGGAGCAGAGAGAGAGAGGAGCAGAGAGAGAGAGTGCAGCAGAGAGAGAGTGGAGCAGAGAGAGAGAGGAGCAGAGAGAGAGAGTGCAGCAGAGAGAGAGTGGAGCAGAGAGAGAGTGGAGCAGAGAGAGAGAGTGGAGCAGAGAGAGTGGAGCAGAGAGAGAGTGGAGCAGAGAGAGAGAGTGGAGCAGAGAGAGAGAGTGGAGCAGAGAGAGAGTGGAGCAGAGAGAGAGAGTGCAGCAGAGAGAGAGTGGAGCAGAGAGAGAGAGGAGCAGAGAGAGAGAGTGCAGCAGAGAGAGAGTGGAGCAGAGAGAGAGTGGAGCAGAGAGAGAGAGTGGAGCAGAGAGAGAGAGTGGAGCAGAGAGAGAGTGGAGCAGAGAGAGAGTGGAGCAGAGAGAGTGGAGCAGAGAGAGTGGAGCAGAGAGAGTGGAGCAGAGAGAGAGTGGAGCAGAGAGAGAGAGTGAAGCAGAGAGAGAGTGGAGCAGAGAGAGAGAGTGGAGCAGAGAGAGAGTGGAGCAGAGAGAGAGAGTGCAGCAGAGAGAGAGTGGAGCAGAGAGAGAGAGGAGCAGAGAGAGAGAGTGCAGCAGAGAGAGAGTGGAGCAGAGAGAGAGTGGAGCAGAGAGAGAGAGTGGAGCAGAGAGAGAGAGTGGAGCAGAGAGAGAGTGGAGCAGAGAGAGAGTGGAGCAGAGAGAGTGGAGCAGAGAGAGTGGAGCAGAGAGAGAGTGGAGCAGAGAGAGAGAGTGGAGCAGAGAGAGAGTGGAGCAGAGAGAGAGTGGAGCAGAGAGAGAGAGTGCAGCAGAGAGAGAGTGGAGCAGAGAGAGAGTGGAGCAGAGAGAGAGTGGAGCAGAGAGAGAGTGGAGCAGAGAGAGAGGAGCAGAGAGAGAGTGGAGCAGAGAGAGAGAGGAGCAGAGAGAGAGAGTGCAGCAGAGAGAGAGTGGAGCAGAGAGAGAGAGGAGCAAGAGAGAGAGTGCAGCAGAGAGAGAGTGGAGCAGAGAGAGAGTGGAGCAGAGAGAGAGTGGAGCAGAGAGAGAGTGGAGCAGAGAGAGAGTGGAGCAGAGAGAGAGAGTGGAGCAGAGAGAGTGGAGCAGAGAGAGTGGAGCAGAGAGAGAGTGGAGCAGAGAGAGAGAGTGGAGCAGAGAGAGAGTGGAGCAGAGAGAGAGAGAGTGGAGCAGAGAGAGAGAGTGGAGCAGAGAGAGAGAGTGGAGCAGAGAGAGAGTGGAGCAGAGAGAGAGAGTGGAGCAGAGAGAGAGTGGAGCAGAGAGAGAGAGTGGAGCAGAGAGAGAGAGTGGAGCAGAGAGAGAGAGTGGAGCAGAGAGAGAGTGGAGCAGAGAGAGAGTGGAGCAGAGAGAGTGGAGCAGAGAGAGTGGAGCAGAGAGAGTGGAGCAGAGAGAGAGTGGAGCAGAGAGAGAGAGTGAAGCAGAGAGAGAGTGGAGCAGAGAGAGAGAGTGGAGCAGAGAGAGAGTGGAGCAGAGAGAGAGAGTGCAGCAGAGAGAGAGTGGAGCAGAGAGAGAGAGGAGCAGAGAGAGAGAGTGCAGCAGAGAGAGAGTGGAGCAGAGAGAGAGTGGAGCAGAGAGAGAGAGTGGAGCAGAGAGAGAGAGTGGGGCAGCAGAGAGAGTGGGAGCAGAGAGAGAGTGGAGCAGAGAGAGTGGAGCAGAGAGAGTGGAGCAGAGAGAGAGTGGAGCAGAGAGAGAGAGTGGAGCAGAGAGAGAGTGGAGCAGAGAGAGAGTGGAGCAGAGAGAGAGAGTGCAGCAGAGAGAGAGTGGAGCAGAGAGAGAGTGGAGCAGAGAGAGAGTGGAGCAGAGAGAGAGTGGAGCAGAGCAGAGAGGAGCAGAGAGAGAGTGGAGCAGAGAGAGAGAGGAGCAGAGAGAGAGAGTGCAGCAGAGAGAGAGTGGAGCAGAGAGAGAGAGGAGCAGAGAGAGAGAGTGCAGCAGAGAGAGAGTGGAGCAGAGAGAGAGTGGAGCAGAGAGAGAGTGGAGCAGAGAGAGAGTGGAGCAGAGAGAGAGTGGAGCAGAGAGAGAGAGTGGAGCAGAGAGAGTGGAGCAGAGAGAGTGGAGCAGAGAGAGAGTGGAGCAGAGAGAGAGAGTGGAGCAGAGAGAGAGTGGAGCAGAGAGAGAGAGAGTGGAGCAGAGAGAGAGAGTGGAGCAGAGAGAGAGAGTGGAGCAGAGAGAGAGTGGAGCAGAGAGAGAGAGTGGAGCAGAGAGAGAGTGGAGCAGAGAGAGAGAGTGGAGCAGAGAGAGAGAGTGGAGCAGAGAGAGAGAGTGGAGCAGAGAGAGAGTGGAGCAGAGAGAGAGAGTGGAGCAGAGAGGGAGAGTGGAGCAGAGAGAGAGTGGAGCAGAGAGAGAGTGGAGCAAGAGAGTGGAGCAGAGAGAGAGAGGAGCAGAGAGAGAGAGTGGAGCAGAGAGAGAGTGGAGCAGAGAGAGAGAGTGGAGCAGAGAGAGAGTGGAGCAGAGAGAGTGGAGCAGAGAGAGAGTGGAGCAGAGAGAGAGTGGAGCAGAGAGAGAGAGTGGAGCAGAGAGAGAGTGGAGCAGAGAGAGAGGTGGAGCAGAGAGAGAGAGTGGAGCAGAGAGAGTGGAGCAGAGAGAGAGTGGAGCAGAGAGAGAGTGGAGCAGAGAGAGAGAGTGGAGCAGAGAGAGAGTGGAGCAGAGAGAGAGTGGAGCAGAGAGAGAGTGGAGCAGAGAGAGAGAGTGGAGCAGAGAGAGTGGAGCAGAGAGAGAGTGGAGCAGAGAGAGAGTGGAGCAGAGAGAGAGTGGAGCAGAGAGAGTGGAGCAGAGAGAGAGAGGAGCAGAGAGAGAGTGGAGCAGAGAGAGAGAGTGGAGCAGAGAGAGAGAGGAGCAGAGAGAGAGAGTGGAGCAGAGAGAGAGTGGAGCAGAGAGAGAGTGGAGCAGAGAGAGTGGAGCAGAGAGAGAGTGGATTAGAGAGAGAGCGACGGCTGAGTCTCTCTCTTCTCCGTTTTGCTGTGATTGTAAAATGTGTTTCCTTCAGACTGACACCCGGTCGACTCCCCAGACGGCTCCGACTCAGTTCAGACGAAGAGCCGCTCACACTCAGAGCTGTCAGGGGCGAGCGAGGGGCGGGAGACCAGTCAGATCCACGTTTAGGCCGAGTCCATATCCCAGTGGGTCCTGTCAGTCAGGTCTGGGCCGGTCTCAGAAAAGTGTTGTTATGAAAGTGATCTGAGCTGGAAACATGTGTTAGAGTCTGGATGTGTGTGTGTCGGGGCTGGATGAAGGGGAAGAAGATTAATGTGGCGCAGCAGTTAAAACAATAGATGAAAAATGTGTTTGGACAATAGACGGAAGATTCTACTCTCGTGAATATAGATCTGTGTTTATGAATTACAAAAAGAAAAAACGTTGGCCAAGAATGTACAAACATGCCCAAAATGTCCCTCTCGTTCTCTCTCTGGTCTCTCTCTCTGTTCTCTCTCTCTGGTCTCTCTCTTTGGTCTCTCTCTGGTTCACTCTCTGGTCTCTCTCTGGTCTCACTCTGGTCTCTCTCAGTCTCTGGTCTCTCTCTGGTCTCTCTCTGGTCTCTCTCTGGTCTCTCTCTCGTTGGTCTCTCTCTGGGTCTCTCTCTGGTCTTCTCCTCTCTGGTCTCTTGCAGCTCTGGTCTCTATCTAGTCCTCTCTGGTCTCTCTCTGTCTATCTCTGGTCTCCAGCTCTGGTCTCTCTCTGGTCTCTCTCTGGTCTCTCTCTGGTCCTCTCTCTCTGATCTCTCTCTGATCTCTCTCTCTGGTCTCTCTCTCTGGTCTCTCTCTGGTCTCTCTCTGGGTCTTCTCTCACTCTCTCTGATCTCTCTCTCTCTCTCTCTCTCTGGTCTCTCTCTGGTCTCTCTCTGTGTCTATCTCTGGTCTTCTCTGGTCTCTACTCTGGTCTCTCTCTGGTCTCTCTCTCGTGGTCTCTCTCTGGGTCTCTCTCTCGTTCTTCTCTCTCTCTGGTCTCTCTCTCTCTGGTCTCTCTCTGGTCTCTCTCTCTGGGTCTCTCTCTGGTCTCTCCTCTTCAGTCTCTCTCTGGGTCTCTCTCTCTCTCTTGGTCTCTCAACTACTCTCCTCTCCTCCTCTTCTTCTCTCTTCCTCTCTGTCTCTACTCTCCTCTACATCTCTCTCTCTCCGACTCTGGCGCTCTCCTCTCTCTCCGTGGTCTTCTCCTTCTCTCCCCGTCCTCCTCAGACCTCTCTTCTCTCTCTCTCCATCCCTCTCATCCCTCTCCTGGTCTCTCCTCCTCCCCTCCTCACTCTCTCTCTCTCTTCTCTCTCTCCTGCTCTCTCTCTCTCTCTTCTCCTCTCTCTCTCTGGTCTCTCTCTCTCTCCCTCTTCTCCTCTCTCCTCTGTCTCTCTCCATCTCCTCTCCCTTCTCCTCTCCTCCTCTCTCTTCCTCTCTCCCTCTCTCCTCCTCTCCCTCTCTCTCCTCCTCTCCTCCTCTCTCCTCTCTCCTCCCTCTCTCCTCCCTCTCTCCTCTCTCTCCTCTCCTCTCTCCCTCTCTCTCCTCCCTCTCTCCTCTCCTCTTCCTCTCCTCCTCTCCTCTCCTCTCTCCTCTCTCCTCCCTCTCTCCTCCTCTCTCCTCTCCTCCTCTCTCTCCTCTCTCTCCTCTCTCTCTCTCCTCTCTCTCCTCCTCTCCCTCTCCTCTCTCTCCTCTCTCCTCTCTCCTCTCTCCCTCTCTCTCCTCTCTCTCTCCTCTCTCCTCCTCTCTCCTCTCCTCTCTCTCCTCTCTCTCCTCTCTCCCCTCTCTCTCCTCTCTCTCTCCTCTCCCTCTCTCCTCTCTCTCCTCTCCTCCTCTCTCTCCTCTCTCCTCCTCTCTCTCCCCTCCTCTCTCTCTCCTCTCCTCTCTCTCTCCTCTCTCTCTCCCTCTCTCTCCCTCTCTTCTCCTCTCCTCTCTCTCCTCTCTCTCCTCCTCTCCCTCTCTCCTCTCCTCTCCTCTCTCCTCTCTCTCCTCTCTCTCTCCTCTCTCTCTCTCCTCTCCTCCTCTCCTCTCTCCTCTCTCCTCTTCTCTCTCTCCCTCCTCTCTCCTCTCCTCTCCCTCTCTCTCCTCTCTCCTCTCCCCTCTCTCTCCTCTCCTCTCTCCTCTCCTCTCTCTCTCTCCTCCCTCTTCCTCTCTTCTCCCTCTCCTCTCTCCTCCTCTCTCCTCTCCTCTCTCCTCTCTCTCTCCCTCTCCTCTCTCTCTCCTCTCTCTCTCCTCTCTCCTCTCCTCCTCCTCTCCTCTCCTCCTCTCTCTCTCTCCTCTCCCCTCTCCTCTCTCTCCCTCTCTCTCCCTCTCTCCTCCTCCCTCTCTCTCCTCCTCTCCTCTCTCTCCTCTCTCCTCCTCTCTCTCCTCTCCTCCTCTCTCCTCCTCTCCTCTCTCCCTCTCTCTTCTCTCCTCCTCTCTCCCTCTCCTCTCTCCTCTCTCTCCCTCTCCTCTCTCTCCCTCTCTCTCCTCCTCTCTCCTCTCCTCTTCCTCCTCTCTCCTCCTCTCTCTCTCCTCCTCTCTCCCTCTCTCTCCTCTCCTCTCCTCCTCTCTCTCCTCTCTCCTCCCTCTCTCTCTCCTCCTCTCCTCTCTCTCTCCTCCCTCTCTCTCCCTCTCTCCTCTCTCCTCCTCTCTCTCCTCTCCTCTCTCTCCTCTCTCTTCTCTCTCCTCTCTCTCCTCTCTCCTCCTCCTCTCTCTCCTCTCTCCTCTCTCCTCTTCTCCTCTCTCCTCTCTCTCCTCTCCTCTCCTCTCTCTCTCCTCCTCTCCTCTCTCTCTCCTCTCCTCCCTCTTCTCTCTCCTCTCTCCCTCTCTCTCTCCTCTCCTCCCTCTCTCTCCTCTCCTCTCTCTCCTCCCTCTCCTCTCTCTCTCCCTCTTCTCTCTCCTCTCCTCCTCTTCTCCTCTCTCTCCTCTCCTCTCTCCCTCTCCTCTTCTCCTCTCTCTCTCCTCTCTCCCTCTCTCTCTCTCCTCTCTTCTCCTCTCTCCTCCCTCTCTCCTCTCTCCTTCTCTCTCTCCTCCCTCTCTCTCTCCTCTCTCTCCTCTCTCTCTCTTCCTCCTCTCTCTCCTCTCTTCTCCTCTCTCCTCTCTCCTCTCTCCTCCTCTCCTCTCTCCTCTCTCTCTCTCTCCTCTCTCCCTCTCTCTTCTCCTCTCCTCTCTCCTCTCCTCTCCTCTCTCTTCCTCTCTCTCTCTCTCCCTCTCTCTCTCCTCTCTCTCCTCTCTCCCTCTCTCTCTCCTCTCCTCTCCTCTCTTCCTCTCTCCTCTCTCCTCCCTCTTCCTCTCTCTCCTCCTTCTCCTCTCTCTCTCCTCTCTTCCTCTCCTCTCTCTCTCCTCTCTCCTCTCCTCTCTCCCTCTCTCTCCTCTCTCTCCTCTCTTCCCTCTCTCTCCTCTCCTCTCTCCTCTTCCTCTCCTCTCTCTTCTCTCCTCTCTCCTCTCTTCTCTCCTCCTCTCTCCTCTCTCTCCTCTCCTCCTCTTCTCCTCCTCTTCTCTCTCCTCTCTCCTCTCTCCTCTCTCCTCCTCTCTTCCTCTCTCCCTCTCTCTCTCCTCCTCTCTCCTCTTCTCTCCTCCTCTCCTCTCCTCTCTCCTCTCTCTCCCTCCTCCTCTCCTCTCCCTCTTCTCTCCTCCTCTCTCCTCTCTCTTCTCTCTCTCCCTCTCTCTCCTCCTCTCTCTCTCTCCTCTCTCCTCTCTCTCCCTCTTCTCTCCTCTCTCCTCCTTCTCCTCTCTCCTCCTCTCTTCTCCTCTCTCCTCTCCTCCTCTCTCTCTCCTCTTCTCTCCTCCTCTCCTCTTCTCTCCTCTCCTCTTCTCCCTCTCTCTCCTCTCCTCCTCTCTTCTCTCTCCTCTCCTCTCTCCTCTCTCCTCTCTCTCCCTCTTCTCTCTCCTTCTCTCCCTCTCTCTCCTCCTCTCTCCTCCTCTCTCTCTCTCCTCTCTTCTCCTCCTCTCTCTCCTCTCCTCTCTCTTCTCTCCTCTCTCCTCTCTCTTCCCTCTCTCTCCTCTCTTCTCTCCTCTCTCTCCTCTTCCTCTCTCCTCTCCTCTCCTCTCTCTCTCCTCTCTCCTTCTCTCCTCTCTCTCCTCTCTCTCTCCCTTCTCTCCTTCTCCTCTCTCCTCTCTCTTCTCCCTCTCTCTCCTCTCTCTCCTCCTCTCTCTCTTCCTCTCTCCTCTTCTTCTCCTCTCTCTCTCCTCCTCTCCTCTCTTCTCTCCTCTCTCTCTCTCCTCTTCTCCTCTCTTCCTCTCCTCTTCTCCTCCTCTCTCTCTCCTCTCCTCTCTCCTCTCCTCTCTTCTCCCTCTCTCTCTCCCTCTCTCCCCTCTCTCTCCTCTCCCTCTCTCCTCTCTCCTCCTCTCCTCCTTCTCTCTCTCCTCTCCTCTTCTCTCTCTCTCCTCTCTCTTCTCTCTCTCCTCTCTCCTCCTTCTCCTCTCTCTCCTCTCTTCTCTCCTCTCTCTCCTCTCTCTCTCTCTCTCCTCCTCTTCCTCTCTCTCTCCTCTCTCTCCTCTTCTCTCTCCTCTCCTCTCTTCTCCCTCTCCTCTCCTCTTCTCTCCTCTCTCCTCTCTCTTCTCCTCTCTCCCTTCTCTCTCTCCTCCTCCTCTCTCTCCTCTTCTCCTCTTCTCTCTCCTCTCCTCTTCTCCTCTCTCTCTCCTCTCTCTCTCCTCTCTCTCCTCTCCTCTCTCTTCCTCTCTCTCTCCTCTCTTCTCCTCTCTTCTCTTCTCCTCTCTCCCTCTCCTCTCTCTTCCTCCTCTCTCTCTCCTCTCTCCTCTCTCTCCTCTCTCCTCTTCTCTCTCTCTCCCTTCTCTCTCTCTCTCCTCTCTCTCTCTCTCCTCTCTTCCCTCTCTCCTCTCTCTCTCTCCTCTCTCTCCTCTCTTCTCCTCTTCTCTCCTCTCTCTTCTCTCTCTCCTCCTCTCTTCCCTCTTCCTCTCTCTCCTCTCTCTTCTCTCTCCTCTCCTCTTCTCTTCCTCCTCTCTCTTCCTCTCTCCTCTCTCTCCTTCTCTCCTCCTTCTCTCCTCTCTCTCCCTCTCTCCTCTCTCCTCTCTCTCCTCTTCCTCTCTCTCCTCTTCTCTCTCCTCCTCTTCTCCTCTCTCCTCTCTCCTCTCCTCTCTCTCCTCTTCTCTCCTCTCTTCTCCTCTCTTCCTCTCCTCTCTTCTCTCTTCCTCCTCTCTTCTCCTCTCTTCTCTCTCTCCTCCTCTCTCCTCTCTCCTCCTCTCTTCCTTCTCTCCTCTTCTCCTCTTCTCTCCTCTCTTCTCCTCTCTCCTCTCT